ACAGGGGGTCATGAAGGGCCAGGTAAGCACCCAACTGGCATGGAGAAATCCTTCCCTCTGAAAACAAGGCTCTCTTGTCCTCTTCTGAAGTAAACAGTGCCTGCCCCCAGAATCTCAGCATCTTCAAGAACAACCATTTGTTTCCATTTCTGCTTCGGAAATACAGTCAATGGCTAAACCAAAGTATTTTGAGAAAAAATTTTTACCACCTCTTATCTCAGATTTGGAAAGACAGAATACAGTGAAATGAAACACAGAAGCCAGGAAGAACACGGGTTTATTACACTGTTTGACCCAGACCCCTGCAAAAATAACGTTGCAATTTAAATTAAATTAAATCACAATTAATAGCAGCAGTTTTATTCAAGTGCCTCAACTGATCACTTTAGATGCTGAGACTCAAGTGGTTTCCATGGAGATAATTTCTCTAGGAGATTGTCAGATTCTTTCTAAAGCTTTTCTTCTTTTACGTGGATATATGAAAACCTGAAGCTTTAATTTAATCCCTTTCACGTCTTATGTGTGTATGTTAGCTAATCGTGATTTATTTTTATATGCATTTAATTGTGTGTTTTACTTGCAATTTTACCTATTTTAAAACTTAGTAAGTAAGAACTACAATCACCTCATTTACTATCTGAAGGGGGAAAATGCTTCATCCATATCCTCTAGACCCACTCAACAGTACAAACAAGAAATCTGACACTAAGGAATCCAAATTACTCTTTTCTAAGGGTCCATTTTTACAGCAATTTTCAGCTTATGGAAAATCACAGAAAGTACAATGAGTCCCCATATGACTCGGGACCATGCAGCCCTGAGTGATGGGCCCTGACTTTTAACTGAAATTACACAGTGTGTGACTGTTTTCACTAAGGATTACAGACGTGCTCGGGCACGTTTCCTGGTTTTCTGTGTAAGTCTGAGGGCAAAGCTCCTTGCCCACAGCTTCTTTTGTTATTAGCACCTTGCACTGGTGTAATACAGTTGTTATAATTCACGAGCCAACGTTGATCATTGTTAGTAACCAAAGCACATGGTTTAGGTTTGTGTTACATCAAATCTCTTTCATCTTTTTTTTTTTTTTTTTTTTTTACTTTTTCTAGTGAATTGAATGAAGGTTTACAGAGCAGATCATCTGTTTTACATTCAGCAAACATGTACTGTGCTTCATTATAATGATTGTAGCCCCCTCCATGTACCAACAGTTACCAGTATTTACCTCTATTCACCTTAAGGACCTCTGGTAGCTTAGTGGTTATGAATCGGGTTGCTAACCTCAGGGTCAGCAGTTTGAAACCACCAGCTGTTCCATGGGAGAAAGATGAGGCTTCCCGCTCCCATAAAGATTTACGACCTCAGAAATCCTGCTGACTCTATGGCACATAACAACAACAACAACAACAACCTTAACTATTTTGTTAGAACCATGGAAAGTCTTGACCCTTTGAGCAGCCCCCCACACTATCATTCAAAGGCATTGGTTCTTCTTGTCTTTCCTACTCATGACCTCTTTCAACTGCATGTGAGGCAATTGAAAATACCATGGCTTGAGTCATGAGCATATTAGTCTCCAAGTGACATCTTGCTTTTTAACATTAAAGCCATCTTTTGAGTATTATAGATCATTTCATTGTGCTTGCTGCCAGACTGCAAAAACAGTTTGAACTGCAAGGTCTATGGTTCAAGCTCACCAGCTGCTCCTTGGAAACCCAATACAGGGTCGCTATGGGTTGGGACCGACTCGACGGCACTGAGCAACAAGAACAATTGTGCTTGTGAGGAACTTGCACACAGACCAAGAGGCAGTTGTTTAAACAGAACAAGAGGATAGTGAATGGTTTAAAATCATGAAAGGTGTGAACCAGGGCTCTGTAGTATTACCATACTCATTTAATCTGTGGAGGCCTGCTGTTGTGCTGTAGGCTCAGCATTGGACTCTTACCCACAAGGTTGGTGGTTCAAATTCATGAGCCACTCCTTGGGAACCCCAGACAGGGTTGCTATGAGGCAGAATTGACTTGGTGGCACTAAACAACAAAAAACAACATTCATTCAATCTGAATAAAGGATCTGAGAAAATGGATTACATAAAGAAGATGGAAGAATACGCAGAGTCACTGTACCAATAAGAATTGGTTAACATTTAATCACTGTACCAATAAGAATTGGTTAACATTTAATCATTTCAGAAGGTAGCATATAATCAAGATCCGATGGTACCAATTGAGGTTTTTAAAATAAGCTGAATCGACACTGGAATCGACATTGAGAAACCATTAAACAAACACTGTCAGCTTTTAAAAGCTCATCTACAGCTCTGAATGGAAGAAGAGGGAGACAGGTCACAGTCAGTGTAAGGAAAGGGGTCCATCCCACCACATGAGCTTGTCTGTTGTGGGCAGAGGAGCCAGCCCTGCATGCCCTATACTTCTGTAACACTCCTGAGGAAGAAGACTATGGGAGACAGCAAGTCTGCCTAAAAAGGAGGTGTCATTGGGACAGGAGGGGAAGCTGAGGTAAGACGGACGCGCTGTAGAGTCGTATGAGGGACAGATGGTGGGCTTGACTCTTATCTGTCTTCTCTGCTTCTTCCTAAACAGCCAGTGCAGATTTTCCATACAACCCAGGACAAGGACAAGCCATAAGGAATGGAGTCAACAGGAACTCGGCCATCATTGGAGGTAGGTAGCACATGTAACATGTTGGAGCCAGGTCTGACTCCCGGTGACCCATGTACAACAGAATGAACCACTGCCCCATCCTACATAATCACATCTGTTGATTTGCCCATGCCATGTTGTGACCACTGTGTAATGTGTCTTCCTACCCAGGGGACTCATCTTCTGTCATTAGATCACACAGTGTTCTTTTGTGGTTTATAAGATTCTCATTGGCTGGTTTGGGACGTAGGTGGCCAGGTCTTTCTTCCTAGTCTCTTTTAGTCTTGATGCTTTACTGAATGAAACGTGTCCACAATGGGCTGTCCTGCTGGAATGCGAAATAGTGGTGGCATGGCGTCACAGCAACACACAAGCCACCCAGGTACTACATACTCACAGCCAAGTGGTGGGCATATAACATAGCAATCTAGGAACACATTTAGAAAAAACTGTCTAGACTTTTTCTTAATTTTGCATTTCCGATGAGTTAAGTTTATCAGGGATGTGGCGAAACTGGTAAATTGCAGACTGCTTGCCCTTCAGTGCTGACTGGCAGAAGGAGAAAGTGGTGGTGGCCTGGAGAGAGTCTAAAGCAACAGGGACCATTGTCAGCACGTTTCTTGTCCCCTCTGAGCCCTTCTTCTCTCATCCTCTGACCTCCAAATGGTCCAGGGTAGCTCACTGCAAGAATGGGAGGGAACATGCTGGTCAAGTTCCGTTCTATGATTTAATAAAAAGGATCAGTACGTCAAAGGATCGACAGTGTCCCAGGTCTTTCTTGTCACCTCTGACAACATAGATGAATCTCAGCAACATGCTGACACCATGGCACAACTTTCAAGCCATCACACCAAGGAGGTACTGACTCTTTACCAGTCAGCCATGTGAGAGCCAGAAGGCAACCTTGGTCCAGGGAGAAAGTTCAGAAGTCAGGAAAGGACTGGGAAAAAGGATGAATGGAAACATTATATTGAGTGAAAGAGCTTACATGCTTACAACAGCTTACATGCTCTCTAATTCATTTCTAGAAATGGGCAGCTTCCAAAGAGTTTGGCTTTCTTAATATTACCAAAAACGAGTTGGCTCTGACTCATGGCGCCCCCATGTGTATCAGAGTAGAACTGCGCTCCACAGGGTTTTCATCTCTAACTCATGGCGCCCCCATGTCAGAACACATGTATGGATGTGTGACTGTTGACGAATGTATGCACCCTCGCCACCACCATAACCAAGAAAGAGGACACTCCTCCCATCAGGCCAGAAAGTCCCCTGATCCTTGCAGTCAGTCTCCCAGCCCATTCCATCTAGAGTTTTCTATAAATGGAATCCTAGAGTGTGCAAGTTGTTATGATGGGCCTCTTTTGTGCAGTGCAATGTTTTGTGATCCATCTGTGTTGTCGCATGTATCAATAGACCATTTCTTTGTATTTCCAAGTCATAGCCCATTGTATGAATGTATCATCATTTGTCTTGCAATAGACATTTGTTAGTTCCAGTTTGAGGTTATTAGTAAAGTTGCTATGAATAGTTCTGTATGTTTCTCTTGAGTAATTCCTAGGAGCTCAACTGCTGGGTCTTATACGAAACTGGGTATCACAGATGAATCGGGTCCCACACTGATGTTGAGCTTGGCTGGGCTCTGATCCCAGTGTTGGTTGTTTGTTCTCCGTTGTGATCTGATGCCATCATCCTCCATCACGTGGTGTGTCGTAGCTGCTAACCACTGCCTGCGGTTAATGAGGTTCAAGAGGACTGTGTTATGTTTGCTGTGTTCAAGAGACAGGGTGAAGGTGGGAGACGTCACACTTACTTAGGTCACAGTCAGGATCAATGTAGGAGGAGTTTCCATGGGATGTGGCCTGTGTCACCTTTTATCTAACCAGAGATAAAGGGAAAGAGACATGAGCTGAGAAGACACCTACTACCCCCAAGAAAGAAGAGCTGGTGAGGACCATTCCCAGCACCTCAGTACACAGGGGAGACAGGGATGGGCAACTTGGACATTGGCTACCCAAAATGGGGGGCTACAAAGGCAAGAAGTGACTGGCTTAGAAGCTTTCAAAAGGAGCCTAGATCCAGAGGGCATGGGGGAAGGTAGAATCTCCACTGAGTAGTACCCAATCAGTCTGGGCGGGGCTGATGAAAGGAGATGGGGATAGGACTCATGTGATACAATAGTGAATAATTGCTATCAGGACTGACTGTGAGGGTTGGAGATGTAAAGGTAGATGTTTTGTAGCAAAAGGAAGTGGTTGACGTTGCAATCCAGGAACGGAGGTTCCTGGGACCATCAAGTGAGAAGAACAGAGAGCGGGACCCTACCCAGAGAGATAGTGTCACCAGGGATGGAGACAGAGATGATGACGTGGAGAGATGGAGCAGATGGGGACTTTAGACACAGAGAGGGAGAGGGGCTGTGTGTTGATGACCCGGGGGGGTCAGGCTTGTAGTGTATACCCTTTGGTTGGGTGATGATGCGTGGAGGGGATTGTAACCATGGCAATGAAACAATATACGATAGGATGAACGTAAAACTAATGTTCTCCCATGTAAACTGTCACATAATTCACAATAAAACATTAAAAGAAAGATGAGCTGGGAGCAGAGCTCATCCTTTGGCCCCGGGAAGAGATTGACACCAAGACACATGGAGATCTCCACGGAACACAGGGCTCACCAATGCTAAGAGGAAACAAGGACCTTGTCGCAGAGCCGGTAGAAGGAGAAAGCACACACACACACACACACACACACACACCTGGAGCTAGTGCTCTGAGTGCAGGTGTCCAGCTTGACTGTGAGCTGATGGACAGAGGAAGAAAGCACGAGCTGGCCTCCTAACTAGGAGAGGACGTGTTTCTGCTTGGTAAAGCCATTCACTGCAGTCCTTCTGCTATGGTAACACCAGAACTAAGAATTTGGTACCAGGAGCCCAATGTTCTACCTAAAACGTGGGAACATTTTGGAACTGGGCAATGGGTAGAGGCTGGAAGAGTTTTAAGATGCTAGTAGTAAAATCCTAGATTACCTTGAAGAGACTGTTGGTGGAATTACGGGCATCAAAGGCAATTCTGGTGAGGGCTCAGAAGGAAGTGAGGAGCGCTATAACACCAGAGATGGTGCAGACGGCGAGAAGCCGAGAAGCTGCTGCAGGGAAACAGCGGCAGCAGAACCAGGAGGCCTGCCCCAGAGCTGACCCAGGAAGCAAGAGAGTTGAGTGCCTTCAGGCAGGGGGCTTCCCGGCAGAGTGGGGGTGCCCAGCAGAGCTGCCTCTGTCTCAAAGGGTTGGGCCACAAGCTTGGGGATTCCAAAGAGTAGCACCCCCCCACCTTCTAGATTTCAAAGAGTAAGATCTCTATCAACTCAATTCCATTCACAAGTGTTAGGAGGATGGGGCTGCCATGCTCAACAGGCAAAAGAGTGGGATAGCTGGGTCTGAGGGGTTAGAGAACACCGCTCTGTTGAACTAGGAGAAGGGAATGCGGCTGCCCAGTTGGGGAGCAGAGTTGCCATCCTGGTGGACCTGGAGTGGATTCAAAGCCAGGGCCAAGGGGCTCCCACCCAGACTCTAGAGAACATATCAACACCCAGAGTCTGGAGCGCAGGTCCATTATCTAGAGAGTCTCAGAAACGGGTTATTTTCAAGCCTCGAGAGCTAGTGTAAATTGTTCTTGGTGCATGTCTTTTCTTGGCTTTTTCCTAAGCCAAGACACATGAAGACCATCACGGAGTATCAGACCCACAGATGCTGAAAGGAGACAGAGACTTTTCTCCTACACTGTGAGCCGAAGAGAGAAAGAGCCTTCCCCTAGAGCAGGCATGAAATCCGACTGCTAACCTCCTACACTGGGAGAGAATTACTTATGTTTGTTAGAGCCATCGACTTGTGATATTTCTGTTACAGAACTACCATATTATTAAGACAGTGGGTATTTAAGTTTATAAGAAATTTCCATGCTGTTTTTCAAAATGGGTGAACACTGATAGTTCTGTGTTTAAGTTAACCCACAATCTCATCAACGCTTGGCATTGTCCATTTTTTCATTTTAGCCAGAAGCAAAAGTTTTCCTATGTTGTTGGTGGTAGTGGTAGTGATGGTGATGAAGGTGGAGGTGGTGAAGATGGAGGCAGTGGTGGTGGTAGAGGTGATATTGGTGGTGATGGTGATGGTGGTAGAGGTGGTGGTGGAGGTGGTGAAGATGGAGGTAGCAGTCGTGATGATGGTGGTGTTTGGAGGCTTGTGTTGTAGAGGGGAGAGGGCAGCGTTGGAGGAAGCCATGAAGCCATGGAGAAAGGTGTCAGGGGACATGTGAGAGACATCTAACCTCTAGTCCTTCTCCTGTCTCCACCAGGTGTCATTGCTGTGGTGATCTTCACCATTCTCTGCACTTTGGTCTTCCTCATTCGGTACATGTTCCGTCACAAGGGCACCTACCACACCAACGAGGCGAAGGGGGCGGAGTCAGCAGAGAGTGCGGACGCCGCCATCATGAACAACGACCCCAACTTCACAGAGACCATTGATGAAAGCAAAAGGGAATGGCTCATCTGAGGGCGGCTCTGGGTGGTGGGAGGGGAGCACACCCTTGAAATATCAGCACAAACTGGGGAGACGAGCCACCGGAAGTTCTTGAGACTGATCACCACAAAAAAAAAAAACAGAGAAAAGATACTTTTTACTATTTCTTTATAGCTGCGTTTCCCCTTCAGTATCAAAGCAAAATAATACAAAAATGCTTTTAGAGTTTAAGCAACGGTTGAAATTTGTAGGTAATATCTGTCTAATTTTGTGTGTGTTTAGAAGTGTTCTGAAACCCCATGGTAACAGGGCAAGTTTTCTACATTTTTAAGAGCCCTTAGAAGGTGGATATTTTTTCTTGAGAAAAGCTGATAAACGTGCATCTGACCTCCAACATTCTCCTCCTTTTGCATATAGTGAACTTTAATAGGCAACTGTAGTAACTAGTCTGTGTTCACATCACGTCGCATCACGTCCTTCACACTGGACTCCTAGTGTGGCACTGTAGGATCAGCATTGGACTGCAAACCACACAATCCATGGTTCAAACCCATCAACTGCTCTTCAGAAACCCTGTACAAGGTCGCTATGAGTCAGAACCAACTTGAAGACACTTAGCAACAACAACAACAAAGTTGGAAAATCAGGGGCAGCGAGAGCCTATTTGCCGGTTTTCCAGGAGACCTCAGTCTGTCCCAATTCTCGAAGGGTGCCACCTGACTCAGTGCGAGGAAGAGGGCATCTGGCACAACCTGACAGAAGCATTTAGAACTACGGGACGCAGCTTCATACTGGGATTGTTGGTTTTCTTTCACTGGAATTCTAAGAGCTAACTCTCCATGTGCATAGCCTTAGACCCATTCTATATCTCTAACTTTCAGCTACACCTTCTCTTTACAAACGATTTCTCCTCCGCTCCACCTGAAGAGCATTGGGCAGCAACATCGGTGTGAGAGTTGGTGGGAGTTCGAGCCCAGATGCGGTGGCTCCTTCGCTTTTGTCTTGTTTATGGTACAGCAGCCGTGTGGGGTGCACAAGTGAAGCTGTTCATGTTTTGTTCAGATCTCTCGTTTTTAATCACCTTGTGGCACACATCGTCCTCTAAGTGGGCAGGTCACAATAAAGCCAGATTGCTCTGGTTATCTTACTGTTGCTATGACTTCCGGATCTAAGGGAACACCACCATGTGTAAGGTCATCCACAGATTGTTCCATCCGAAACTGACATCCTGCCACGATTCAGTCTTCTTTGGCAGACACATCTGAACCTTGGGTTCCTCAAAAACCTGGCAGGTGGCTGTTACTTCTCAGAGAATGGACACATCTTATCCAACAGGCCACTCACTTTAAGCAGGTATATTGCCCACTTTTATCCCCACATGTAACCCATTGGTTTTATTTTTAAAATCGTAGACTTTGTATGACCAAATAGGAACACCGCTCCCTACTAGAACATCCAAAAAGCTCAAGTTCACAATAACTACCATTTGCAATCACTCCACTTCAGGTTTCTTGTGCTTAATAAGCACTTGTGTTAACAATAATAATACTAATAGAGTCCAACATTCTTGAGGAAATCAGTATTATCACTGTCCTGCTTTTCTTCCTGGAAAGGGATGAGACGAGGCGTCTCCTCAGTGAAACGGAAACGCCTTCATTGGGCTTATAGCCATGTGCTTTTCAGGATACTGGATGTGCCTAACCCAATGGAGGACCTTCACTCTTTGGGGCACGTGGCACCAGCGTGACCCACTCCACAGACAACACTGAGCCCACTGATCCCCCCAAGTCAAGACAACAGAAGGAACGGATGCCTCTCATAGGCACTGTCATCCGACACATGAAGACCCTGAGATCTAAGTCATTCGTCTGTAAAGTACACTAAAACCAGAATCATCCAAGCAATGTAACAAAGGACAAATTGCCAACAAGGCTATTGATCTAACAAAGATGGCTGCCATTCTGTATTGTCAGGGGGGCATGGTGGCTCCGTGGGCTAAGTGCTGGGCTGCTCCCTGAAAGGTCAGCAGTTCAAACCCACCAGCTGCTCAACAAGAGAAAGATAAGACTGTCCACTCCGGTGAAAATGTCCAGCCCAGAGCCCCTAAAGAGCAGTTCTACTCTGTCCCGAGGTTCACTGTGAGTCGGAATCCACCCAACGGCAGCGTGTATCGTCATGTGGAAAAGCACATGTTAAACATAATGGTTTAGAGGCGTTTCTGGTTTTGTTCATCTGTTTCACAGGTGTCACTTTTGCACCTAATGAATTGTGCCCGATGGAAATGCGCTCTTTCTTGCATTTCCTCGTGTGTTGTCTTTCTTCTTCCCACAGTAACTCGGGGATTCAGCAAGGACAGCACCAAAGAGGGAAACATGGTCTCCGTCCCCTTCCCTCTCTTCTCACCTGCATCCTGTCACAAAAGGTGAAAAGTCGACCCCAGAACTCCTTTCACCAGCCTTGCAAATCGGACCACTTCACCCAAAGCCCTGCCCTGGAGGGGGTACCATCCCCAGGAGGTACAAAAGGCAAGTCCAAGTGCCAAACAGAAGCTGGAAATCCTGGCTTCTCTTTGATGCTGTGGCCACGTCCAGGACATTCTAAACAGTTAGTCATTGTGTGTGTGAAGAAAAGGAAGCAGCTCTTTATTCAGCTCCCTCCCTCAAAAGATCATAATGAGACAACCTGGTTCACCGCAGCTTCAGGGCCCCAGACCAGACAAAGCCTTGTCTGGCATTGTCATTTGGACCCCACAAAATCTGGAGGTTTAATGTCCCTATGCTTTATCAAGAGCAAAGATGTCAGCTTGAGGACTAAGGTGTGCCTAACCCAAGGCATGATATTTTCAATAACCTTATATGCATGCAAAAGCTGGACAGTGAATAAGGAAGACCGTAGAAGAATGGATGCATTTGAGTTATGGTGTTGGAGGAGAATATTGAAAGTGCCACGGGCTGCCAAAACAACCAACAGATCTGTGTTGGAAGAAGTGCAGCCAGAGTGCTCCTTGGAGACCAGGATGGCCAAACTTCGTCTCTCATACTTCGGACATATTGTCAGGAGGGACCAGTCGCTGGAGAAGGATGTCATGCTTGGTAAGGTGGAGGTTCAGAGAAAAAGAGGAAGACCCCTAGTGAGATGGATTGGCAAAGTGGCAGCAGTAATGGGCTTAAGCGTGGCAACAATTGTGAGGTTGGCCCAGGACCGGGTAGTGTTTTGTTCTGTTGTGCATAGGGTCACTACGCGTCTGTACCGACTCTATGGCACCTAACAACAACAACATCATAAAGACGAACTCAGAAAGCAACAGGCTGTGTTAAAGTGTCAGGAGAAATTGATGGCGGCTGTGGGATTATGAAGACAGCAAAAGATTGGAGTTTCAACTAGAGCTTGAGGAAGCTACCTCGGAGGGCAGGAGGAGTTCCTTCCCATTATTCTCTAACCCTCTGAACATTTAAGACTGTGTGACCAAAGGCTTAGAAAGACGGTCCCTGTGGAGTGGAGCTTTGACTGACGAGATGGAAACAAGAGTTTGGCGTGAATTTACTCCCCTGGGTTTGACTGAGCATCTTCGCTGTGGAAGTAGGACCCCTTAGGTGCCAGAAGAAACCTAGCCCTAGATACAGAGCAAGTTTTCATGTGATCAGAACACCTATTGGGATCCAGGAAAAGCCAACGGCTACCAAACATGGAAATGTGCATGATCGAAGTTGCATCTGGAAAGAACCAGCCTTCGTCCACTTCTGTGCCCAGCTCCTCTGTCCCTGCTGTCTCCACACCAGGCTTATCGGAGAGTTTAAGCATCTAGTACCTCCTGAAGATTCGCTCCTGATTTGAACTTTTTTTAATGTTTGGGGTTGTTTTGGGGTTGTTTTGTTTTGTTTTCCTTTTCACTCTCTTATCAAATACTTTTCAAAAATAAAGACATGAATCAAGTTTAATTCCAGTTAGCCAGCCTAATGTAGGCCCTAAGTAAGTAATCCCAAATGCACTAACTGATCCTTTATTGCTGTCTCCTGGAGACGGACTCACAGCCGTCCTGTAGGACAGACTAGAAGTGTTCCCTGGGTTGTCTAGATGGTGACCTTCATGGGGGAAGGTCACCAGGTCTCTTCCCCCCACCCTGTGGAGCAGCGGGCTGGTTAACCATTGTGCCCCAAAGTACCTTGACGTTGCTGAAAAACATGAACAGCCTGTCTGGCTGGTTAGAGCCATTTCCCAGTGGCATTCTGGGGAGAGTCCACTCCAAGAGTCAGCCTGCAGGTCCTAACCTGCCCCTAACTGACTGTGTGCCACATTGCCTGCCCCCGCCCCCTGCCCGTGTCCCAGGTAGGAGATGGCTGGTTTACCTACTTCATGGTGCAATGGTGAAGAGCCCCTGGTTCTTGCCCAATCGTAAAGACCCACACATACCCTGGTCTGTGGCCTCAGGTCACATTGGAAGAAGCAAGGTGGCAAGTCCAAGGCCTGAAGGCAGAGGGGGCCTTGCTGCCCAGCTGCTTACTGATTCCCAAGGCTGTAAGCACAGTACACCACCACCCAAGGCCGGGATCCCACGCCGCCGGGGGCTCCCTGCTGGAGTGTGACAGCTGCCCTCTCCCCAGCCTGCCTGACAGTTTTTCCAAGTTCAAGGTCTCCTCTGCACGAGCGGTCTGTAAACGCGTCATCAGCACGTGAGCCAGCACTGGCGGAGGGCGATGCACACGTTTGCAGACCCAGTTCCCAGATAGACACGTGCCTCAGCGTCCTCTCCACACCTCCCTCGACTCAGAGTTTTGCATTCTGGGATGCGATGGGCGTGTGGAGGAGCCTGGGGTGGGGGTAGGGGGGGGCCAGGCAAGCGTTCTCCGTCACTGGTTCTTGGTTTAACTTCCTCGGGTTTTTACCTCTGGGAGTGGCTGTGGTGACCACCGAGGTTGGAGGCGTGGAAAGCCAGACCGCACATTCGATCCAGTCGGCTGGAAGTCCCATCCTGTCCTGTCCCGCCCAGGGACCAGGGATCACACAGCCTCACTCTCTAAAAGCAACAGCATGGA